TCGAGTGATATGCTAATAATGTTCGACGAGCAACCAGTGTGCAGTGGCAAGTGGCCAATAGCAGGCGGCAGTTGGTTGCTGGCAGGCTGCAAAATATTGGCTCAAAATATGTTTTATCGCATTTATTATCAGCAACGTGAAATCGTCTATAATTGAAAAACTGTTAACTAGATTAGCTGCCATTAGAGACGAACGCGTTTAAGTCGCAGCCTGGGTACAGGCGAGCTGCCAGCCGCGACTGTAGTGGCTCAGTCGAGTGACCAAACGTGGCCGTTAAGCTAAACGTTTTACTATTTTCGTGGCTGCTGTTGTTGCGCTTGCTGTTACGAGTGTTGTTGTTGTAGTTGTCTATCTCAAAGCTGTGGCAGATAGATAAACGGCAACTGAAATGGCGCAGCGTAATGCAAACATGGTCAATGGCTGGTGGACAGACAGGCGCATAAATAAAGCAAAACAACACCCGAAGGGACATCGCTCCATTTATTTTGTTTATTTAAGTGCCTTCAAATCAGCCTTTTTACTTTTTAAATCTAATTAAGTTGTTTAAGTGGAATTTGTGCACATAAAATTATGCAAATGCGGCGGAGCCGACACACACTCCAATACGATGTATATTTGCTATCCGCATGGGTATTTGCATTTATAATTTCCGCCAGCCGCCATGGGGCTGGAGGGGCATAGAGGCCGTAAATCATAAGTGGGTGAGTTCGGATTTTATACTTATATTTGCATTGGTTAGCGCCCGCACGAGGTGTGCTGTAAATACTTTTTTTTTAAAGACACGTTTAATTAAAGGAATGCAAGCAAGACTGAAGCGATTTCTGAATTATATAACTGGGAAAAATAGTAGAACTAAGAGCGCTTCTAGATAGATATTTTTATGGACCGAATATTTTGGAGTAGTTCTCAAAAGCTGATTTTTAAATGAACAATATAGAAGTTCTTGAATGGTCATGTTTAATTTCAGTTAGCAAATTTATTTGAATGTACTTCAAGTTCTTAATTACAAATAAACGGTTATTATTAGAAACTTCATTTAATATATTTAATCCCCAACAAATAAATATAAATTTAATTTAATTCAAAAACATATCTGGAATACGCGTTATTCAAACAAACGCGTGAAAAACAAAATTAAAAACTATCGCGAACATTCTAGAATTTCCTATAAAGAGAGATAAATAAACATCACTATATTAGAACTCTCTCTCTCTCTGTTCTATAAAATTTATCCTTTATAGGTAGTATCTCCTGGGAAATCTCTCATTTACTGCTGTGAGTCGGCTTGCCGGACTGGCTTTCAAATTTTCCCCCACCGGGTTGGAAATTTCCCTTTTACTCTTTCTCTTTATGCTTAATTAGCTGTTAAGTAGAATTACTTTTCCTTCTGCAATTACTATTTTTTGAGCCTGTTAGGTCTATAATGTCTCTGACCACATATGGCTGAGATTAGGGGCATAGCTGGCCAAATCCCAAATAAAATTCCCCCAACGGGTCGGAGGCATTAGTAGACGTTATTATACTATATAGTTCTTTCTTAGGCTATCTTATCTTTTAAGTTAAAATTATAACGTTTTATTAATAAATACCTTTATTTTATTTTATAATATTTTATTATAATATAAATCATAGTTTTTGTTTATGAATAGACAGCACTATTTGTTGATTTACTGAATAAATAAATAAATTAGATGCAATTTTCATAAAACAATTTTAAATTTTATATACAATAGAAAATCATAGTTAAGAGGCCTATTATTTGACAAATGTAAACCAAGACTTTGAAATAATTGCGTCAGCCCATGTCTTCATGCTGATCCATGTTTAGAACTTTACATTTTCCTGTTTCGATCAAGGGAAGATTTGGTCCGACCGTTCTCCCATTTGAATGAAGTAATGAATTATTAGGGGGAGTTCTTAGCTAGCTATCGGTTATTATCGGTTGCTATCGCGTCACTTAGCTGAGCAAACAAATGAAAAAGTGTGTACATTTTTTAGATAATATTCGCTTTAACCTCGACATCTTACAGTATTACCAGTACCAGTACCAGCTTAATGCGCTTACTGATCACCGATGCAGCCCAGCGTGCGTCGTTTTAATGTATGCACAAATTACAGTTGCTGTTGTTGTTTTTGTTGCTTTTGTGTGCTATACAGTTCTCATAAAAATGTGCATCGTGAATTTTTAATTGTCATCAACTTGACTTGAAATTTTATACGCATTTGTTTATGTGATTTTTACGATGCCTCGTTGGTTGTTCAGATGTTCAGTTGTTTGTCCATACCCCGCTCTCTGCCCCTTACCCCTTGGCCCTCTTGGCCTCTTGGCCATCGCGCCACGGTTGTTGTTCGACATGCGTTGGTCTTTGGCTCTGGCAGACAACTCCTGCGCATGTTGATTTCGGCGGCTGGAGCTATGGCCCGCCGGATGATGACGCTGGGTTTGTTTGCTTGTTTAGTGCCCACACACGTACATAAAGATGTCAACGCTTAACTTATCAAACAACCGGCAGCAACAGAAACAACAACAGCAACAGCAACAACAAACGCTTTAGAAGCAGCAACGGCAGCAACCACTGACGACGCCAACGATGACGATAATACAATAAAAACTACAATAATTTCTTATTTGAATTTTATTTGCGTGTCGCGCATTCGGTGGCTGGCGATTCGGCTGGACACGGGTCGGGAAGAGACAGCGCCTCAAAGAGACACACAAAATACAAGTAGCGCCCACCGCTGGCCGTTTATCAAACAACAATAAACTGTAATTTATGAAAAATGCTTGTAAAATGACGATAAAACAAATGCTAGACGAGACAAGACGAGACGAGACGACATCGTCTTCGTTTTCCTCCTCTGATGATGACAGTCGGCTGGTGCTGCAGGTTGCAGGTCTTCGAAAGCGTCTTGGATCACAAGTGTGGACAAATGCTGTGCAGCTGTGTGGGTGTCTTTGTCTGCGTCTCTCTCTCTGTATCTGTGTACCTGTACATGTGTGCGTGTGTGTGCAACAAAGCATTCTGGCAAGTGTCGTCTTGGATTGCATCCATGTTCAGCTGCATCTGCCCGTTGCACCATTGTTAGCGACGCTTGTTTGGAAAATTGGTCAGTAGCCACAAGTGGTGGGCGGGGGAGAGCTTGAGTGCGCATTCAAATTGTTTATAACAATTTAGTCGGCGTCTGTTTTGGGTCACTTTGGCGACAGGTCAACCTGATGTCTTGCATTTTTAAAGGAAAATTTCAAGCAACTTTTGCTTTCGTGCGTTGGCGCAAGCCGCTGGAAAAAAATAATGGTAAATAATGATGTAAATAAAGTTAAATGTATGGGCTGAATGGGCCAAGCCAACGCAATAGATAATACCAAACTGCAAGTCAGCCCCTAAATCGTGTGTCACGGTAATAGTCATAATAGATGCTTGCAACCTCAACTAACAACTCCAAAAGCAATTACTTACAGTGTTTTAACTCGCATGAGTTATCAACCAATATGCCACTAACTATAGCTTTTCCTCATTGGTTCTGCTATCTTTTATTGATTATGCAGCAAAAATCTAAAAATGTTTTGGGGTAAGAATGGGAAATTATTTCGTTTGTCCAATTCGATTTCATTCATTTTAGAGTTATGTAAGTAAGTAAAAGTAAGCAAGTGGCAACAGTGGAAAATAAAATCTACGATAAACAAACTAGAAAAGGAATAAACTTGAAACAAAAATATTTAAACGGAAATTCTCAAAAAAGAGTACTTTTTATATAGAAATTTCTTAGAGTCCTCCCACGTTCTGCAGTTTAGTAATGAATTCTAATTTAATTTTCTTAAAAATTAGCAAGATTCTTTTTCTAAACTTTGTTCTCTTTCGTCAGTCTCAAAAAATGATACTTTTCATGCTAAACTACACATAAACTATGGCACTGCTCGATTAGAAAAATGTTAAATATGTCTTTATTACAATTTGGTTAATGTATTGTTTCTTATACCCTGTACCCAAAGGGTGAAAGGGTATATTAGTTTTGTGCGAGTGTACATGGAACACACAGAAGGAGGCGTGGCAGACCCCCCAAAGTATCAGGATGACAAGCCGAGTCGATATAGCCATGTCCGTCTGACCGTCTGTCTGTCCGTCTGTCTGTATGAACGCAAGGATCTCAGAAAGAATAAGAGCTAGAATAACCAAATTAAATTAAATTAAATTAATTAATTAATTTAATTTAATTTATTTATTTTTTGTGCGGTGCTACAGGGTATTTAAGAGTTGAGCCTGCTCGACTTTAGCATCCCTTTCTTGTTTTTAATATTGTTCTACTCATAAGTGCAGGTTATTCCGCATTCGTGGCATTCGAGCTTAGCTTCTAAACTTGCTTTAGCTTTAATGTTGCTTATAATTTTGTAATTCGACTCACTCGACACTCACTTGCGACGTACTCGCACTAATACTCTTCATTAGTATCTCCGACTGTGCCTGGAAGCCTATTCTTCGTTAATTTCTCCGTCTGTGACGCAGTCTTAGTGGAGCGTACCTTTGCGTCACCTTTCAAATTAATTACATGGTGATTCGGAAAGTTTTTAATTAGCGTGAATTAGGGTGAAACAATTTGTTTGCGCAGTTAGTCGATAAGCTGAAATTAGGGACCTTAATAGATGACCTGTCCGGTTGTGTAAACAAAGATAAGGCAAACAGAAAGCTTTTAGTATTGAACGGCTGCGGTCGGTTGTCAGTATGTTGGAAAACTTTGCTGACTCTTTTAGTTATCAACTGAATCCCACAGTGGTCGAGTTCTACGCTTACTTACTTACGACTATCGGGAACGACAGCATTTTCTACTACAATCCTGAAAGAGTAAACTGTACGTGGCAGCACTATCAGCCACATATCTTTGACCAACAGCCGCAGTGGACTTGGCATAGTGGGGCGACCTATCCACGATTTCTTAAGAGGCACAATAGCCGGATATTTGTTTTATGCTGTTTGTCGGGCAACAGAAAAGCCGTTTCTCAAATGATGGACTTGGCGGAGACCATCAGCCACATGCGTCATGTGCGGGTGCTAATTGAAGTGGCAACAGATCCTTTCCATAACCAGGAGAAGGAGCAGGACCTGCTGGCAACCCATTTGCTGTCCTTTTGCCTGCGACAGGGAATGCTCAATGTGATGTTATATTTTCAGCAGTGGATGCGAGCTCTACAGCTGTACAGCTACGAAGCCTTTCCGGAGTTTAAGCTTTTGAAGCAAAGTTTCAAGAAACAGATACACTTGTATTCCAGAAAATTGGACAATTTGCGAGGATATGCATTGCGTGTTATGCCCGATAAATCGGAGCCCAATACAATACTTTATAGAGATGGTCAAGGCCAATTGAGGGTCACTGGCTATCTCTGGAAATTTATTGCTACCTTTGCAAAAAAGCACAGAGCACAACTGCAGCTAATTGGGGACCCACGGCGCCTAGATAGTTCCATTAATCATCTGCAAATGCTCAACTATATACGCAGTAATATGGCGGACGTTGGCTTGACCACACAATCTATACCGGAGAAACATATGCAATGGTATTATTTCTACTCCTATCCCATGTCCTTCGGCAGTTGGTGTGTGATGCTGCCGCTGGAACGTCCTGTAAGTGTGCGTGCTGTGATGGGGCGAGTGCTTCGAGCGGAAGCTCTGGCGGTACTGTTGCTGTGTGTGATCCTTTTGGTGTCAGTGCCTCTCCTGCTACGTTGGTTGCGGCAAAGACCACGGTTCTTAACGCCCCTCTGCGCCCTGGCCATGCTAGTGCTCTGCGCCAGCCAGGCGCAAATTTTATCGCTCCTGATAGCGCGTCCAGCCAGCGACAGCATCAATAGCTTTGATGCCCTTCTGGCCTCGGATTTGCGGATCTTTGGACTCCGCGCCGAATTCGACTACATGGATGGGGCCTTTCGAGCCAAATACGCAAGAGCCTTTCATCTCACTAGCAACTGGTCGGAGTTTCATGCGATGAGGCGCACATTTAATGAGAGCTACGCCTACTCCATAACAACGATGAAGTGGGAGGTGATGGCCACACAGCAGCGACACTTCGCCCGCGCCCTCTTCCGCTACTCCAAAGACCTCTGCTTCAACGATTTTATACCTTTTCGCCTGCTAGTGCCCGAGCAGACAGTCTTCAGGAAGGCACTCAAGCATTTCATTCTAGAGACCCATCAATCTGGATTACTGGACTTCTGGGTACGTCACAGCTTTTACGATATGGTCAAGGCAGATCGCATTACCATTAGGGATTACAGTGAGAAAAAGAAATTGGAAAGGCTGCAGCTGAAGGACTACCAGGATATTCTGCTATGGTTCTTGGGCGGCCTGCTTTTGGCCATACTGGCATTCGTTGTCGAGCTTCTGGGCTTCTATGTGAAGCGCTACCTGAATTATTTGTAGAAGGTAGCGAACAGTGGCCACCAACTACCAGTCTTACGTCTTACACCTTGAAGTTTGCTTTTTCTATATTGTAAAAAAATAAATGCAAATTACATGCCAGGAAGCCACCGCAGCGGCCGCAGTGGCGTGCAGCACACGTTTCGCAAAGGCACGAACTCATTTCAACCTCAAAATGAAACACAACTGCAACAACAGAAATAGCGGCAGCAAACCACAAGAAACAAAACAAAATTATGTAAAACTTGTGCAGCAACTACGGCAAAATACAGCGACAGCACCAGAACAACAAACAAATTGTGACGCAGGCCCAGACAGATCGCTGGGTGGCGTGCGGGCTTTTAGTATTTTGAGGGTATGGTCTACTCGTATAAAGGTTTCAGCTAGGGATGGCAGCGGGATGAAACTGGAAGCCTAAATATATGTGCATGCCAAGCCGTTCTAAATATGTTGAATGGAAAATTGGGTAATATTCCCTGGTTGCCTTTTGATTGAAGCAGCCCTTGACAAAATCTCATAGAGAGTCTTAAGTAAGTTTAGGTTCGCCATTCTTGTTTATTCCCATAAAAACAATCCTACTTAGTGCTTAAAACTATTCAATTGTTAATATATATGCATAGTAATAAATATGCTTTTGTTCAACATTGTTGAAATATCGAATTCTGTTCGTTTAGTCCCATCACTAGTTTTGGAGTCCACGACGTCTTTTACACTTTTGTAGGACGTCGCCATAGCCGTCATTGTCTGGCCCGTTTTGATTAACATAAAACGAGCATCGCACAAATAAGTAAGCCATAATAATAGACATCCAACAACCGCCAACACCACAAGAAACAACGTGAACAAATTTGATTTCACGATTTTGCACTATTTAGTCAGTCCTACCAACACCTGCAAGCGAAATCCAACAACAATCCTACTTAGTACTTTTAACTGACTGCCAACTGCATGGCAAATGTTGTCAAAGTCATTTTGCAATACGTACGTGACGCGCTCATCTTAATTTCAAATCAGTTTTTGACAGTCTCAATGGGTTTGGATGACACCTCAGCATGAAAACACAGTGCGCTTCTACGAAAATAAGTAACAGAGTTTTTCGAATTCTGTAGATAGTATCACCTTTAACTTATTTTCGACATTTTTGAACCACTTACTAAAGTCTATATTAGTTTGAAATATTCCAATCGCATTTCAGGTTATTGCAATATCGATATGTAGATTTCAAGTTCTTATCAAGCTATTGGAAAAAGTCGTTTAGCACCAATCTAATTAAAATTTCAGACGTTTCTATATTCTTAGCACATTTCATTGAAGATGGCTTTTTAATGGAAAAAACTAGTAATATTGCTTAAGTTTTTTAATCAAATTAAGGAACTATTTCATCTTAGTTCGGTTTTATTGAATTAAGAAGCCTTGCTCTTGGCAAGATAGTTAAGATAGTTCTGTTTAAGAGCTTTCTTTTCACAAATAGTCAAGGAGGCGGCTTGCTTATTCTTGTTCTCCAGGTAGTTGGAACTAACTTCTAATGATGTTTTTAGTATAGACAATGAGTTAATTGAAGCAACTGCATTGCAGTAAACTTAATTTCTTTGTCACGACCAGAAGCATTGGAGCCTAGGAAAATTTATGATGCAAAAGAAGCGCCACGATTCGTTGACAAATTTCCCAGCACACGAATCATAAATTATTTGGCCATGGCCATGGGCCATAAACAATAAATTCGTATGATCCTAGAGGCGCCCAGAAGAGAATCGTAGTGCTTCAGCAGGCCGCCAAATGCACGACATGTGAGACATTTTCCTTAACTTTTCTCCGTCTGTGTGACTTAAAAGTCGTGCACTTGGTGTCACAGAACGTGCTGACATTATTTCTGCCTCGGCGTCTATAATTTTCTGCAAATTTATCTTGGTTGTGTACTACAGTTTCCAGCGAAGGTCAAAGAAAAACGAAAACACGCACCCAAATATGTCCGACTCTAAAAACAAAAACAAAAATGCATCGGACAGCGCCTGCGCAGCCGGCATAACTTTCTCCCCAGAAGCCAACAACACAGACTAACACGCATGCGCGGGTGTACGCATGAGGAGATCGGAGTCTGTAGCCACGGTGGCAATGCCTCGGCATGAAGGATCAGCGACGGCTGCTGCCACTGTTTTAAGTTGGCCATAAAATTTTATTGGTCAAATAAAAAATGCCGCTTGATGCCAGGGCGTGTGTCCAAGCAGAGCCGACCCCAGTTGGGGCAGCGAGGTTGCCACTGTGATGCAAAAATCAGTAAATTTATCTTTGGCAACATTCTTCCGCTGTAACTTTGTATCTTGCCGGCTTGCGTGCTGCCAATTGTCTTTGGCCGGGACGGGTTGGGTCGGGACGGGACGGGACGACTGCAGTACTACCAGTGGTTAGGTAACCATTCGTTTTTGTTTTTGTTTTCGTTTTGGGCACACACTCGCAGCTAAGTTGAAAGGTTACAAATTTATGGCTTTAACATGAGTTCAGTTTGTTTCAAAAGACTGCTAGGCTGTGTTTCTGGCAGGCAGAAAAATGTACAATTTCTAAAGAAACAAGGCTCTTTTGACAGACAAGCGACAAATACCATCAAATATTGCTCCTGAAAATATCATAATATTCCCGTTTAGAAATGCTGTTTAATTCGGCAAAATCGTTGTGCAATATGGAAAGCATATTTGCCTTCTTAAGAGCTGAAAACAAATTGAAAAAGTTAGCTTTTAAATAAATTCTTTATTAAATTGTTTAGTCACGACCAACTTATTTGGTCGCAAAACCTAAAATGAAAACGTTTTAAAAGCAGTTAAAAACATTAATATGATGTTCAGTTTTCGAAAATAAAATGGGGATGGGTATTAAAAGAGAAGTTGGAAAGGAAATTTCATTCATTTATAAATAAATTCTTTATTAAATTGTTTAGTCAGGACCAACAAATTTCCCTTATTTGGTCGCAAAACCTAAAATGAAAACGCTTTAAAAGCAGTTAAAAACATTAATATGAAGTTCACTTTTCAAAAATAAAATGGGGATGGGTATTAAAAGAGAAGTTGGAAAGGAAATTTCATTCATTTCTAGATTCTAAAAGGTATATTAAAGATGTAGTTTTTAAAAGAATTCATTTAGTTTTCTTTTTAATTCGCTTTTTTAAAGCATGACTCTTGTGGAAAAATATCAATCTAGCGTGATCTACGCTCAAGGTCGGCGCTTATTTTCAAATCCTTTTTGGTCATACGTTATCCAATGGTCCATATGTTTTGCAGATAGGCGTTAAAACAATTATGTTGGAATGTCGAATATCTACGTAGAAAATATAAAGTACTTTTAAAGATATTGATTGCAGCGTGAAAACAGAATCTGTGTTTTTAAACGGTTTTAACATTAATTGTATATGAAGTATAAAGATGATATTTCAGTTAATACTGCTTTCAACTTTATTTCCTTTTCTGCATAGAAATTATGTTTTCACAGATTTATAAATTGTTGAAGTGGGAATTTGGGATATTTTCTAGTATTAAAAACATTGTTTTTAGAGGGTATAAATGTTATTGTTTGCAAGCATCTGTGAAATCCCTGTTGTGCGGAATTTTGAAAGAAATGCTAAATATTCAGCTATGACTCAGTGAGTGGCCGCCCAGTTGGTCGCCATCGTCCAGGTGTTCAATTAAACGTTGACCTTAATACGCAGGCAGCAAGCTGCAGTCTCATGACTTTGCCAAAGATTTTTTTTTGACAAATTGTCGTTGAGTGTGCGCAAAAAATCAAGTTTATGGTCAATTTGCATGAACATGAACAACTTTTCATTTATGTATGATTATTTAAATGTATGTGTACGCGTATATGTAAATAAATGTCAACGGTTTTCGTTGGAAAAATGGCAAAACTGGCAAATAACAGTTTTGATTTCGTCTTGATGTGATGCCGGCCGTCCAGAGCTATTGATGCGACAATTGCCGCACACGTGAAGAAAGTTACAAAGAGGACAAAAGGCGCATTAGTTTGGCATTAAAATGCCAAAAATAGTCAACAGCTAGCGTCTTTTTGCAAGAAGGTGTTAAAATATGCATTAAAATTGCTGATGAAGCGGCTTTGTGTTGGCAGGATTACCAAATATTTGTGCTGCTGCCAAAAGTCAAAAGAAATCAATCAAAATGCCACAATCAACAAAACACAACACAAACACAACAATAGCAACAACAACGACACAGACACACATAGGAGTAGTTGAGCTGTAGGCGCCAAAAGGCAACAAAGACAAGGCAGCATAGTTTGCAGCAACAACAGCGACAACAACAGCAACAACAATAGCGGCAACACATGCTGCCGACAGAAGCGACAACCTGACGTGTGCCTAAGACGCTTAGCAGCAGCATTGGCCACCATCGGGCAGCATCCAAGAGCCGACCACGTCTCTAAGTGGACAACAAAACGCCTCCAACACTTTTGGCGCGAAAAATGTGTTGCCATTGCCGCTGTTGTTGCTGTTGCTGCTATTTTTGTTTACTATTCACGAGGGCAGTTTGATGAATATACTCGAATATATACAAGTAATACTAGTCGTAGCAGGGTTATTTAGTCTAACTCTCCGAGGGATACCTTTTAGAAGGCCACACATTATTCACATCTTTGTAAAGCATTTAAATGAGAAGCTGGTTCAGTTTTTTTGACGACTTTGTTTTCGATTCTGAAACGTGAAAATAAAATGCTGGAGCAACGGACTGACGAACTCTAAATAAGCATATTACAACTACTTATTAATTTCATGTTTAAATATATGCACCCTATGGACAGTTCAGGGTAGACTAAGAAGGTATATCGGTAGAGTAGCAAAAGTTTGACTTCGGAAGCAAGAAGGCGACTTACCTTAAATTTTATTTACACGAAGAAAAGTATTATACTCCATTGCTTAATACCACGACATGTGGTGTACTTTTTAACGGAGTTTGTGGACAGTTTTTTACTCACTTGTAGAGAAAACACTAAAGATATATACATAT